TTTGCGCCAAACAAGTGTAATATCATTGGTGGCATATGATTATTAATAATAATAACTTTTATTTCCAAAAAACCTTTCAAAGCTGCAAAGTAATTCACACACACAAAAACACAATCAAAGCACAAAATACCACAAAAAAAATTAAACAGAACAAATATCAATCGTTAAGAATAAGCCATAAAAAATACTCTTAAAAAGAGATTTAAAAGACGACACTGAGGTTGCTTTTTTGTCATAAAAACTTGTGTAACCATACAAGATATTTATTCATTTAACAATCTATGCAAAACTACAAAATCGATGCTTCTTTTCCTATTAATTTACATTAATTGTGTCTAATTTTAGAAATACTGTTCCAGTATTAAACTTGATTTTAAGAGTTTCATCTAATAAAAATAAATGTGTAAATGTATTTTAAGCCGAAAATTGAATTCTATTAAAAAAAAAAGAAGAAAGACATGTTATGCCTGTTTACAGCTACATGTTTTGTGTTGTTATTTTATCCCACACATTTGAATTTACTGTAATTGTTTGTAATTTTATTCATAAATTTGTCTATTTCAAACATACAGGAAAAAATCTGCAAAATCAAAGGAGAAATTTAGATTTTTTTTCTTTTTTTGTTTTCTCTCTCTCTCTCTATTTTTTTTTTTTTTTTTTTTACAGGGCAGTAGAATGTTTTCATGTTGCAGGAAAATAAATGGAAAGTATTATGCAACCAAAAATCAGCAGCACCTGAACAATTGTTCCCACAACTCAAACTTAGAGCTCTGAAAAGAAAGACACGTACATAAATGTGTGTAAAAATTACTCATTAAATAAAATAAATAGACATAGAAATACGAGATAATGGAGGAAAAGCGGTTTCAATTGTTTCAGTTCAGGTCAGTGTTTGTAGGTGCTTCTAGTAAACTTGTGTTTGGACAGGTGTGTCTTTTGTGCAGCAGTGTTTTGAATTCGAGTCAATTTTATGTTACATCAGCCCTTTAACTAAGACAGAAGAAAAGGTGACAGAGAGAAGCGCTAATAAATCCTATCAGGTCTGCAGGAGTGAATGGAGATGTAAGGAGGAGGTAACGGTTTTGTTGGTGTGGTCTGTGGTCGGTTCACACAACGTGCGATTTCTGAAGCAGCCTCCATGACCACAGTCTGTACTACGTACCACGTACTCTGCTGCTGCCACTTGAAGCAGCACTTTTACCACGATCGCCACAAAAGACAACGTGAGAAGGAGCTGCACAGGATCCTGTCTCGCCCGATGGGAGAAGTCAGCTTTAGAGGAATTCTCCTTTAACTGTTAAACAGCGTCTGTGGATGAATGAATTAAAGATTGTTTGTTGGTCCTGAATGGAAAATTTCTTGGAGCAGATTTAAAGCAGTGATGCTCCACTTTTCTCTCACCTCATCCTCTTCTGTCTTTGATCAGATCATTTTCACTCTTTTGATTTGAACTTCTTCATGTTTAAACCCCCATCCCTTTACAAATCATTTACTTTAAGGAAGCACCACTTTAAACACATTTGTGCCAATTCAGCCTCTTTAGTTTGGTGAGTTTTGACATAATTCTGTATGTTTGAAGAGGATCACTAATTATCCTAACCATACAAACGAGGTTAAATCTCATATGTGGCTCAGTTATTCCACTTTACACACCATATGATCCCACTACATTAACTACTGGAAGAAGAAAAAGCTCTGACTTGTAGAATAACTCATCAGATTTGGACTTTAATTTGGATCTAGTGGATCTGATTTGATGGCTGATCCTTTAAAGTTTAACACTGTGAACTTTAAGCAGTTTCAGAGTGTTTCTTTTCTCCCGTCACATTTTCACTCAAACAAAACCCTGCACCTCTATGGAAACAGCACAGCCATGACAAGAAGCAGAGAGAACTCAGACATGTCTTCTATAAGTATGACACACAAACTGAAGAAAACTAGAATCAACATTTACTAGATATTCATACATCAACAACCTACATAAACTCAGTGATTTTCACACTTCTCTGCACGTCATCACTAGAATATTTCACCATGCTGAATGTATCTTCCAACAACCTGCTGACAACTTATCCCCCGTTCCATTTTTAAATCATGATGCATTTATTTTATTGATCCAGTTTTTGTCACGACAGCTGAGTCAATTATACCTTTTCACTTGTGCTAAAGAGCTCAGAATTTTTGCGTTTTACAGGCTCTGGTGCAAAACTTTTTATTGAGGGGAATTTGTGTCAATGAGACGTTGTGATTTTAAGCTTTTTTTGGAATAATTTTCCTGAAAGAGGCACACATTACACGTTGAAGATGTGATGATTTGAGCTCAAGGTACAGTGGTCTGACCAAGTCCTGCTGTGTAGATGCTGCCTGCAACAGTGAGCACTTTGTTAAGGCAGCGGCAGAACTGACAACTGAAGTTGACAAGTTGGACAAAAGCCAAGACTTTACTTGTTTTGACAAGATGAAGCTGAAATTTCTGATTTGTATTTTTACCACAAAGTGCAGGTGACTCAGTAGTTCTATTTAAAACTGTAATCTTGCAATGGACCTTAAGGACAGGCTGGGTCATAGGAAGGATCCGGCTATTGGATCTATTGGGGATCTGTGAAAAGAAGAACACATTTCTAGGCCACACCTGAAGCAGCCTTTGAAACTGGACAGACTTTATTGTGCCAAAGTGATATTTTCAGGCTTTGATTGCAGCTTTAGAAGGATGCAGGTTCTGAATTGGGACATCACCATAGTCAGTCTACACTATGGCTGTCGGGCAGAATAAAACTACCCGTGGCATCTCTAACCTGGCAAGTAAACAAGTAAAGCCTAATATCTAACCAGAGATACTACAACGTTCAAGTGATGCAGGGGATCCATTTTTACCCAATTTTCAAAGGACATTTTCATATTACCGTAATTTCCATACTATTAGTGCACCTGGATATAAGCCGCAGCCACTAACTTTAAAAAGATTTTGTACATGTATAGGCCGCACTTGTCTATAAGCTGCAGGTTTCCACGCTGTAACATGAGATATTTACACAGAAAGACTGCTGTAACTCACCTGGTTGGCCTGGCGTCTCATGTATAGGGGCTACAGTCCCCGACGCAGTGGTAGTGAGTTTGAGTCCGGCTCATGACCCTCTGCTGCAGGTCCTTACCCCATTCTTCTCCCCCCACTTTCCTGTCCTATCAAATAAAGCCAAAAAAATACCTTAAAAAAAAAAAAAAATCGACACAGAAAGATTTTCTTAATTTGTAATTAAATACGTACCATGAATGCTTTTTCCCGAACAGGGGCCTTTAACACTGGCTAAAAAAATAAAAAATACAGCATCCTACCAGGAAAAGTCATTGACCGCTATCTTCATCTTCCTCCTGCGCACTAAAACCACTAAAGTCGTCTTCTTCAGTGTTCTTCAGAATTACTTTGTCACACACTTCCTCAGTCTCTCTTTTGTTGTCGCTCTCAATGTCACTTACGTCTCGAGGCAAATTTGTAAAACTCATAAAAATCCATGAATTAGTCGCATCATTGTTTAAGCCGCAGTGTTCAAAGCGTGTGAAAAAACAGCTTATAGTCCAGAAATTACAGTACATTTGCTGCGCCTTTGAAGGAAACGCTGCTATCTGGTATTCAGGTGTTGAAGGTACATATTACAAGTTAGAATCTGGAATTTCAACCTCTTGGATCAAGAGGGGTCCTCAAGCAGCACGGCCGAGCAGTTTCTTTGCTGGTAATTGCGAGTGATCTCACAAGCTGATGTCATGAATCGACACTGGGGCCGATTGCAGCATTTTGTTACTGATTGGTATCGGTAGTAAGTTAAGCCTTATCCTTTCTTTAAATCTGTTGTCACACAGGTGTCACAAAGAGTTATCACAAGTCGAGGCAGAACACTTTGCATAGAATACACCAGCACTGCCCAGAGAACAGGACTCTTTGTCATGGTGCCCACTGTTAGCTAAACTTCTACAATGCTCTCTGCTGTCCAACATGAAATTGTCCATAAATCAAATGACCACCTCGTTCAATCGCGACATAAAAAAAAAAAAAAAGGGGGCATCTGCCACCTGGTGGCACAATGAGGTACTACAGCTAATGTACAATACATTTCCTGACATGCATGTTTGTGTTTTGAGACCTAGCTACTCCCTACCCTCTCCACACTACATTTCAGACAGAGTCCCACTGGATCTTTACAATAAAGTTCGAGACCATCCACATAAAATTAAGGAACACCTTGGATGCAGAAATAGTTTTTTCCTAATTCATTGCAGAGCTATTCCCTTGTCAGCTGGACACTGGATTGATTTTAATATCTTTAATGTACTTAAAGTGTGTATTATCTAGGAATGTTATCGGACTGGGACTTGGTAACGGCAGACATTCAACATTAAGTGGCTCAAACTGAATAAGGGGATAGAAAATTATTTGATCAAGACATCTCTAGTAACTACAGTTAAATTGTGGCTGCACTGTGTTTATGGCCTGGACTAAACACTGACTTTAAGGTAGCTGAAAGCAGAGGTGTTATCCTGAACTTGGTGCTCCAGCTCACCTGCTGGTTTCCAATCAGCTTCTTGCAGGGTGCAGCATGTGAAGGCTTCAGCTTCCTACTCAGATCAACTGTAATGAAACCTCAGAGTTCAGTCACATCACCTGCTGAGGAACAGCAAGACATTTACCAAACAGCCCAAACACACGGAGACACAACAGCAACGGTTGTACTTCAGTTTTATTGTTCTGAGAAAATCAATACCAAGTAAAAAATAAATTACTTCCTTGATTTTATTTTGAAACATCCTGGTCAGAGGGCGTAGTGGGAACTGCTGACCTGAAGGCCTCAGAAACGCTGGACTGAGACGATATTTGGAAAAGTTGAAAGTGTGCTTAAATTTTAGCCAAATGAATTCACTGTTCAGGAGAAAACATCACATCCAGGAGTGAATAAATGCACCTGGACTTGTTTTCATATGACGGATCTCCAGCAGTAAAACAACTTCTTAAAAAAAAAAAGAAAAAAAAAAAAATCAAACACAAATGAATTCAAACTCATTTCAACTTCAAGCAGAGCGAGCTGTTGTGTTTCTGTTATCAAATCAGTCTCTGGTTCCTGCATCTAATAAGAAAAATCAGAGTGTTTTGTCCCGGAACAGATGGCATCAATTTTAGCTCCAAATATCTTAATGATGAGGAGGAGGCAGGAGGTGTTGGGAGTCAAAATTCAAAAACAGAAAGAAATTAAATATTAATAATAAAAATAAAAAAAAACACAGAGTGGGAAACAGCTCTCAGTCTTTAAAAAAGAACTCATTTTTCTCAACTGATCTTTGTGAAATTTCTGCCTCACCGACTTATTAAACTTATCGCTCACTACGAGATCGACAGATTCCACCAGCAGAACCAACACACATGTATACGGAAATATAATCTCTCTCGAACAGCAAACTATTATTGTCTGGTTTTTACAACTTTTTCGTCTCTTTTGTCAGTCTTCTCAAACGCAGAGCAATGTCAGTTTGAGTTTAACACTGTAGCAATAACTGAAAGTCTGAAGAAAAAACAAGATAATCTTTATGTGTATGGCTCTATGTGATTAAAAAAAATGATACATCATGTGGTAAATTAAAAAAAAAAAAAAAAACATGCAAGATTTTACATAAATAATTGTTCTGGAGCAGGAAACTGTCTGGTTGCAGAGTTTGGGAGCTGTTGAAACAAAGAACTGGAGGTAATAGTCACACAACCCTGATGCAAAACAGGAACGACGCAATAACAGATTATATGGATTTTAAAACAAATGTAGATTTTATAACTCATCAAATCAGTACCTTTATTTTTTCCTGTCGGAAAAGTAAATGATTGAATAAAAAAACCTGCTGACACTAATAGGCGTTCAAAGATAAGCGATGCTCAGGAGTTCTCCGTGGAACCTTCATGGACAAGTTCAGGTAACAAGGAGGTGGTTGTACTCGGTGGACCGTGAGGAGGCACTTAACCAACCAGATTAGAAACTAAAACCTGAAACCAAACAGGAACTAGAGTCTGAAAACAGCACGTTTCTCCGACAAACGACTTGTTTTAGAAAGTTAAATCTGACCACAGCAACGGGACAAACTCTTAACAGACCGCAAATCATTTTTAAACAATTTTAGGCCACTTTCCACTGCAGGAACTTGCGAGATTTTTTAGGGCGAATCTTTGTGGATGTTCCGACCACAACAAACACTCGTGTAGAGCCTATTTCAGGGCGCTTCTTTGGAGAACAAAAAAGTACCCAATCAAGGATAAATATTTCCACGAGGTCCTGAAAAACCGCTGTGCAGATCTCAACGCTGATTGGTTAGTTGTTTCGATGTTTTGTCGAGGAGCCTCAAACATCACCATCAACATCGTGTTACTACGTTTGTACGTACAAGCTGGAGTTACATCCAGTAAATATTTTTCCGTTGGCTTGGTGCACTCAGAGCTAATTGTTGTGGTTGAAGCTGTTGGATCCGACACCGCAATGGAATCAGAGAGACTCAAAAAGGGAGGGCAATCCAGTAAATGTTGGCACCGCCTCCGGCGGCCTAAAGTTCCTGCCGTGGAAAGTTGCCTCTACTTGACTGAGACAAAAACAAATAAAACAACATAAAACTGTTTTCTTGAAGTTAATTCAATAGCATAGATGAGTTAAAATAGTCCCAACCTGATACCCCACCCCGCCCCTTCTACAATGTCCATAAGAAATCCTCTACATCAGGCACTTGTTGATTAGTCCATAACTGCTCCAAGCCGCCCAATCAGAAACAGCGAGCGGCCCTCCGTCCTCCAATCACCTGCTCTCAGTTAGTTAGTCCAGGCAGCGCCTTGGCTTCTCTCTTTAGCCTCCTCTTCGACCCGGTTTCCTCGCCCTCCACGTCCACACTCCGGGAGCTGCGGTGGACGCCGGGGGACCTCAGCTCGACGTTATCGAGGGCGAGCGCGGGGTCATCGGGTGACACGGGTCGAGGTGCCGGGTAGTTGGGCTGGTAGTAGCGGTATGGGTCGTCCTCCTCGACCTCGCCGTAGTTCTGGAAGACGTTGGACGGCAGTTGGACTGCGGGGATAGCGCCGCCGTGAGTGACATCCTCGCCTTCTGCGTTTGCCGACCAACCACGCCACCAGCCAGCCAGCACCCAGTCACATAGGCAGAGAGTCAATGAAAGCCCAAAACAAAGATGGCCGCCCACCGCCACCACAGGAAGCAATGTTTTGGAGTGATTTGTTGGGTTTTGATTGGGTTAGCAGGAAGAGGGGTATTGATAAGAAGGATGGAGCAAGAGACACAGAGGGACAAGGGTTACCAAGGGTTACCGGGATAGGGTTACCAAGGTTACGGACTGACAAAAAAGCAGTTAGAGGGAAGTTTGGGACAAATTAAAAGTTAGAATCAGCAACAATAATTATGTTTAATGTGCAGATGTCTAAGTTTTAGCAGGCAGATATTAGATTTGTTATCTATTAGCTGACATTCAAACTGTCACAACTTAATGTTTTCAAGTGCTATCTTTAAAATGAAAGGTTTCTTGATACTTAACAGTAAAAACGTGCAAAAATGATATCTAAAGTTGTCGTGCAGATGAGCGTTTCGGGTCTCTACACAGTTTTTTAAAAAGTTTTTTTTTAAATTTTGTGTTATGGCCACTGTGTATTAAGTCAGTAAAGCCTGTGGATTAAAAAAGAGGAACTGGATGATCATAATCTAGAAGAGAAAGTGAGGAGAGGATGATCGTGTCAGTGCAACTTCATAGTACGAGTGGACTCAATTTTGACACTTTCTAAAAAGATAACATGCTTTTATGCTGCGATTCAGAGGGTAAAGTTTTCTCTCAGATGTTAACACTGCTCTGTAGCTCACTGAATTTGTGCAAATTCACCTGGATGAGATCAGAATATTAGGACTGTCAAAGACCTGTTTCCCTGTTGCTTTAACATACAAGGTGCGATCAAAAGGTTTCTTCCCGTTGAGCAGAGTGCATCATGGTCACATGCACGCAGCAGCAGTCTTCAATAAAAGAACTGCAGTATCCAGAAAAAAGAGAAGGCGTGTCATGTCAGGAGCACCAGGAGCATGTTTCTTCTACATTCATGTGGTTGTGTACTGGAATTTGTGCCTGACATCATCTAAACAATCGTTGCTCTCCACCCGCCCCAGCTCAACTTCCTCAACAATGAAACTCAAATTGAAGCATTGCTGATTTGACACAGTTTACCAGAATCAGCGCTCATCGCAGACGCTGCTTGACACGTTTTAACTGAACTGGACCTTAAAGGAACGTTGCAGGAGCACTGGGAGCAGAGTATCGCTGCACGAGGAGACTACTTTAAAAGGAATGGCTACCAAATTTAAATCAGATAAGGTTTGTGCTTTTTATGGAGGCAGTTTTGGAACTTTCTGATCGCACCTTGCATTTACCATTTCACCTTGATTTAAATTTAATTCTAGCAAACCTCTTGCTAGCTTTGTACTTTCTGACATCGTTAATAGTGCAGTTAGCAATTTATTTTCACTCTCAATTAACCAGGACATTTGATTAATTGATTAATTAACTCTTTGTGTGAGAAATAGCAAAAATTCCTGTTTGATCAACAGGTTAAAACCTAAAGATATTCAGTTTACTAGCAAATACACACATTCTAGAGGCTGGAATCAGGACACGTTTGGCCTTTTGGCTATAAATACAGACTAAAACAATGATTTAAAATAGCTGCAGAGGAAATCTTTACAGCTCACATTACTCTGATATGTGGTGAGAGCTGATGCATCGACACCACTTCCATCACCTGCTGCAGTTTAAGCTACCAACCTCTGCTGGTGCTGCTTTGAGTGTCTGTGAATGGGGCTCAGTAGTCACTGAAATGCTGTGCTGTTGGTTGTTAGAGCAGTCAAACAAGGCGGTGATGGACAGACAGACAAGGACAGACACACGCACAGAGACAGAGGAAAGATGACAACATGCAGACGTTACTCACATGTCGACTCTGCAGGCTGCGAGCTGAACAGCGCCGCTAAGGCTGCTGTGTGACCTTTAACCTCAGCACACATCAGAGGTGAACACAACCATGCATTTAAAGGCTAAAGATGCTCCTGCAGGGTTTCCTTTAGCTCCATAACGCACACTAGTGTCTCTTGTTAACACGCAATGCTCTGGATGCATGCGGTTGAATTGTGCTGCAGAATCTGTGAAGCTGTTAAAATATAATTTCCCATGAGCCTTTGCCCGTGAAAGGCAGAGAAAACACTGATTGAAGCGTTCTAATGCCGGAGAGCAAATTAGCACGCAACAGCTGCCTGCAGCATCGATTCATCACCTGCAACTTTCATGAGAATTTCGCAAAGTAATTTGTAGCATTTATGCCGAGTGGTGTGTTTAATTAGTGATATATGTATCAGAAACCTCGCCCAGGAGCATCTTTCCAGTCACTGATTAGACCCACACTCTCCACACTGAGTGATTTACCACCAGAGCTCGGCTCAAACACGTTAAGATGCAGAGTTCAGTTGCGATTTGGTTACTGATGTGTGACAGGAAACCATTCTGAAGGAAGGCAGCGCTTAAAGGATTGCTTCACCCAATTTATAGTAAAAAAAAACAAAAAACGGTCTCATATTTTATCAGCTGAGGTTTTCAGGTAATTACGTTTAACATTTGTTTCCTCTACTACAGCACAGCGAAGGGAAATATAATCTAATCTGATCGAAACATCGGCGAGCCCCAGCGAAATGAAGATAATATATTTTGCAGCTTTTTATCTTTTGTCGCTGTGGAAACGGTCCTGTCATCTCCTGATACAACAGCGCATGTGGTTAATGTTACTCATGATTCATTCTGCACTTGTACACATAAAGTGATACAGTCAGATGTGATTTGGGGCGACCAGTAAGCTCTCAGATCATAAAGAACCACATCTGACTGCTGTCTTGAGGTAGCAGGGCTTTTTCTGGCTCAAATGGGCTGAAAAAAAAAACACACGAGTAAGAATGATCAGACTCCTAAAGTAAAGATAGTGAGTCTGTGTTGCCTCGCTTGACAGAAATCTATGCATTTTCCTGTAATGTCTGACCATTTGATAAACATCCATTTGTGTTATGTTGAGAAATAAGTGAAACCCCAACAACAACAAAAAAAAGTTTCCTTTAAACTTGATTTGTTGAGCTGCACCCCTCCGAAATGTTGAATGTACACGATTGAAACAATTAATTTTACCAGTTATATTCTGTGATTTAACAAAACAGAAAAAAAAATCTGTAAAATGACAGTTTAAAAATTCTTTACTATTTTTTATTCCTTAATATTTTGTCTTTCAAATGAAGGAAAGTATTAGTAAAATATATTTTAAAAAAATAATAATAATTTAAATACAGTAAAAAAAAAAAACCCACAACAACACACTTTAACAGTCAAATGTAAAGAAAACTTAAAATTTTAAAAAGTCCTGATTTTTGATGTGAACAATATTCACAATTTTTTTTATCTGTTTTTATTATTATTATTGTTATTATTATTATTTATTTATTTTTACCTTTAACATGTAAATGATTACTTATTTGTTGGGATTTTACTGCTTGCTATCTGTAATTTACCAAAACAGGGAAAATCTGTGCAATAACACACATGATGAATAACACATGTCAAACCTTAACATATATTTATTTATTGTTTCTTTTAATTTGTGGAAAATATTTGTAAAATAATGTATTTACTCATTTAAAAAACAGTAAAAATCAGAGAGCGTACTAACAAAAGAACAAGTAAAAGTACTTATTTTTAATATAAACATTATTTACATTATTTTAAATTTTTAACAATACATTTTACATGTACGTTTAAACTTATTTTCTGTGATTTTACTTGTTATCTGTAATTTCACAAAACAGGTAAAATCTGTAAAATTACACAAACATGTATGAAAGCATTTGTTCTTTTTTTTGTTTTACAGTGCATCAGTCGTGGCTTTTAAAACCTGGCTGTTAAACGTCTGTGTCTTGTTCCAGGAACAACCATGAGTCCGGCAAACATTTACCGTTTAATGTTTCGGGTGAAGTGAGCCTTTAAGACGGACGCGGTGAGACAACTCTGAGGGCAAAACGGCCTCAGAGTTGATGTTTTATTCATGACACCATGTTGTTTGGATGTTTCCCATCGCGTGCCATCCACAACAACAAGCTCAGGGCATCTCCTGATATTAACCACACACTGAAGGTGAATTGTCTTGTGTGTTTCAGAGATGCAACCTGGACACACACACACAAACACACACACAGACTGCTGGTAGTAAAACTGAATTCTGGATCTTAACTTTGACTGTATTTCAAGGTGTTTCGTATTTCACCTTCAAATACGCCGAGTGTGGACGGATGACTCCACTGACATGCAGCTCGTTTAACTCTGTGGCAGCTTTTCAACATGAAAAGGAGCCGAATGAATTAAACGTTTGACCGGAACGACCTTCACTCCAAAAGACACGCAGCTCTGAAATGCTCTCATGCAGCGTTCGTATATTTAAAGGCTTTAAAGTGAGGCATTCTTTCTAATAACATGACGTTCATCCTTGGTACATACAGAAGCACAGGAATGCGACACTAAATGGCTCGTTTGTGGTCTGTTCTACTTGAAGGCTGTCTGTTTCTGCAACCTGTGGCTGTAGCTACACAGCAGGCTCAGTGAAGATGAACTGTTACTGAGTTATTTCACTGCCAACACCGAGTCTTTACCGATCAGACTAATTGATGAACGTGTCGTCGGGACCCTACGCACCTCCGACATTGTAGCCCACGCAGGAGTTCTGGTCGCAGTATCCTGGAGGTCCTGTGGGGCCGACAGGTCCAGGGACTCCGGGCCGACCAGAAGCTCCAGGGTTCCCGGGTCGACCTGTTGGACCCTGGCTGCCGGGTCGGCCTTGTCCTTGGGCACCTGGGAGAAGGAGGAGGAAGATTTTAGCGGACCAAAGTGCAAATCCAAGTCTAGACATGCTCATAACCTTAATATTTAAACTCATTAGGCAAGTTTGTAGAATGACTGTATAATATTGAAAGGGTTTAACCATAATATTTAAATTAGTCAGGTACATTTGCATTATAGAAGTTTTATATTGTAGGGTCTAAACCTTCATATATGCAACTGTTAGATACATTTTATAATAAATGTATAATACTGGAGGGTCGTAACCTTAATATTTAAATTAATCAGGTAAATTTGTATAATATATATATAACATTGTAGGGTCGTAATGCTAATATTTCAGCTTGTTAGGCACATTTGTTAGTCTCTACTGTATCTCCATTGGAGAGCACTTTGGGTCAATGTTGGAACTATGCTGTATAACTGACCTGATGAAGAAAAAGAGAAAACGTGTTTCTGTTGGTATTTAGGTAGCATTCAGCATTATCCGCACCACACTATAGACATTTATACAAACCAATGAAAGTCTAAAAGACCAGACTGAGAAGTTCTACGTATGTGACTTGGTGTGGTTGAATTTACCAGGGGGTCCTGGGGGTCCTCGGGGTCCTTGGACACCGACTCCCGGAGATCCCTTGTCACCCTTCTCTCCTGGTTGACCTGGACACACAGACAGTGTTAAAAGATTAGAAATATGAGCGCAACTGTTCATATAAATGGTATAAACAGATAAGGTGCAGGTTTCTTTTAAGCGACCAATCCAAGTTGCTATGAGTCAGTCAACCAAGACTTTCCTTACAACTTGCAATTCCATCTAGTACTGGCAACACATTCCTTCCACTGCTGCTATGTACTGTCTCATCACAGCTGGAAATAGTCAAAGGCTTAAGAGATTTATTCACTTCATCCCGTCTTTCTTCCAAAATCAAGTATAAATGTATTCTTTAGCTCCGTTCTCCCACAGTGCATCTCTTGTGCTGCTCTTGTCAACTGTCTTACCTCTCTCTCCTGGTTGCCCGTTCTGTCCGTTCTGTCCTGGGAAGCCAGGTCGTCCTGGGGGTCCTTGTTCTCCCTGAGTACCCGGGGTTCCCTGTCGGCCGGGTTCTCCGGGTGGTCCGGGAACTGTGCGGATGGACACTGGCGGACTGGGTGCTTGGTTCAGGATGGAGTTGTAGCGTTGCATGTGGCCTGAAAACAGAGAAGCAGGAATGAAATAGCACAGTTTGTGCAGAACTGGAAGAGTTTTGGGGGTTACAAGGTGTCACAAACCTCCAAACGAAATACGCTGTGTACAAAACTGGCTGTAAGGAGCAGCTAAATGTTACAACCACTCAGAGGTGGAGCGATGTAGGTCTGAGATACATTAGACAGAAAAGAAAAGATGGTAGTTGCATCTCTGTGTAGATTCTCAATCATCCGGGTCATGGTAATAAGAGCTAAGAGCTTCAGCAGAAGACAACTGGACTTCTGTTTTTGTCACCTGGGCCGCTGTGGCTCAGGCGGCAGAGTGGTTGTCCTACAATCGCAAGGGTGGCGGTTCAATCCCCTGCCCTCCACAGTCGAAGTGTCCTTGGGCAAGACACTGAATGCAAAGTTGCTCCCTTGCATGGTAGCTCTGTCGCCACTAGTGTATGAATGTGTGTGTCAATGGGTAAAGCGCTTTGAGTACCACTAAGGTAGATATAAGTGCAGACCATTTACCATTTACCTCTTATCCAAGAGACTTCTTCGGTTCTAATGGACTTATGGGAGTCTCAGATATATAAATATCCCCAAATCACATTCCTCACAGCCCCAAGACTTGTATTACTCATGGGGTTAATCGTAGTAAAACTGTCTGGCGAGGGATATGAAGACTGTGTCATACGTACCTGACAAGTGGTATGTTTAGTGATTGATGTTTTTGTTACCATGCCTTCCTTCACTCCTCTTTAAAACCATCTGTCTTAAGTCTCCTTCAGCTTTCAAATGCAGGTAGACTGTTGAGTTTAGACCTGAGGAGCTAGTTCTTGTACGTTGATCGATGTGTTTGTGGAGCAGTTGTTTAGTCTCCCCTATATGCACTAACCAGTTTTTGTCACACAAGCTACATACATTTATTAGTTGTTTTCTTGATGTTGTCCTGTAGGGGTCTACGACACCACTTATCAGGTTCTTATAATGCAGTCTTGAGATCCATCCCCAGACTGTTTGAGCGACATTAACAACCTGAGTCATGCTTCACCTTTCAGTTTCTGAATCATTCACACTTCGGGGCATCTTGGGCCCTGAGCTATGTGTTCAGGGGGCCACAACACGTATATATCTGAGACTTCACATCAGAGAGTTAGAACTAAAGAAGTGTCTCGGATGAGTTGTCTTCTCTGCAGATGGTTCTTGTGGTCATCCTAGAACTGGGTGTTGGAGGATGTGCTTGAATATAGCTACCCCAACATGTCTGGTAGTGTCCATGTCTTGGAATGTTGGAGGATCACGTGCCTAATAAAGTTTTGGTGTATGTCACCACTAGTCTAGAGGGAAATAGGCTCAGGAAATGTAGACCTGAACTGTTATTTTGTTACTTGAGATTTTCTCAGAAATTTGTATGAAGACAATAATTATCAACCCACAAATTTCCCCCAAACTTTGATGACACCACAAGAACTGGTGACAAACATTGTCTTCTGTGAACCAAGTCTGACCCTTTAAGCAGCCCTTTGAGATCCTGAAAACAGAGGTGAAAGATATACAGCGCAAAGGTACTTACTTTGGATCAGCTGCTCACAGACCTGCCTGGCGATGGCCTGAACTGATGCTGTCGACTGGAGGTCACCCTGAAGACACACAACCGCGAAAGTGTCGTTTACTTGTACTATTTAATTATCTACACACTTCTCATGAGTGTTTCTTAAATCAAGAATTTTGTGTTTGGCTCCTGAGCTGCAACCAGAGGAACATCCGACAATTCTCCAGCTACGATTCTTCCTACTGCTGATGTTGTGATTGGTGGTACCATGACTCACTCTGTGCCTCCTGATTCCTGCTGCCACTGTGTTTCCACGAATATTTAGCTGTTTTACACTCTTCCTGTGTCTTTTTCCATCTTTGTGAAGTTTCAAGATCCATTCTTCAATTTGCTCTGACTATTTTTTTTGTGCATAAACATCGCTCATAGGTCCAAAACCAAGGAAGTTCTGATGTTTACGGCTTATTTTAAAATCATGTTTATGCAGTAAGACTAATTGGAAATCACGGATGTATTTGCTTTGATTGATTTCATTGTTTCCATTGAATACCTAAACATGAATTACAACCTCAAAAATGAGAGCTGGACTGTTCTACTGGACAGCTGCCAAATTGTTCACTAGTCTAATTTGAAAACAAAATAAATAATAAAAAAAAAAAAGCTGCTATAAAGCCCACTTTATTTGGATTTCTGTTCTTTTTTTTTTACTGTCTGAACCTGTTTAATAGTGACCATAAAGTACAAACTGTGTAAAAATGTATTTTTGTTACACGCTTAAAACAACCAAAATTGACCAAAGTTCTGCACCTGCTTCAGATATCAGATAACATTTAACAAATAACAAGTGTGTGTACAATGTGTTTACTTGTGTAATAATTTTACTGATTAAATGTTTCTACAGCCTCCCACAAACTCCAGCTGTCTGTGTTGTGTGCAGTCAGATATCTTAGGATGACTTTTTTTGTCAAATTGAAATATTTAAGACATGTTTGTGCAATTTAAAGCAAAGTTACACTGTAAAAAAAAAAAGAAATCCTGAATTATATGATTTTTTTTTTTTTCAGATTTCAGAGCTTGTTGAATTCATTTTTGTTACATAAAAAGACTTACATATTTAAATTGAGCAGAATTCCACAGATATGTACTTTTTATTTAAGAGATGAGAGAGTTCAATGGTTTAATTCAAGTTTAATACTACAAATATATTTCTAAAACAAGCTAGAATTAGGGGTAATTATTAGAAAAATATGCATTCATTCTATAATTTTTTTAGTTTTTGTTTTCACAATGACAGATAACTTGTATAATTGCAGACGTTTTTCTCAACAAAACTGTTACACGAATATGTTTTCATCAGTGTAAAATATCTTCATAACATATTACGTGAGTAAAATTAACGCCTGAAAATATATGTTCAATATGGAAAATTATTGTATTTATCTATGTAGGCTATCCTCTGTTGTTTTACAGTATTCTGGGGGGTCCAGCTGCTGGGATATTGTGTTTTTATAGTTGTTTTTTAGTGTGGAGGTATTTTAAGAAGCAGCAGGGAAACTCACCCTTTCACCTTTCTCTCCTTTGGTTCCAGGAAGACCCTGCAACAGAGAAGAAATGATAAAAAAAAAAAAAAAAAGAGCAAATAAAAACACAAAGATTTAACTCTGCAGTCACAAGTTGTCTCCAAGCAAATTCTATTTTCCTTTACAGTTTGCTTTGAATATTGCCGATCGCTTGTCAGATTGACAATTCACAGCTTTCACTACCTCTCGTGTAACCCACAACCATCCTCAAGCAAGTTGCAGCAAACGCTATAACTCCTTATTATCAGGACAAACAGTGAGGAAAAACATCACAACAAAAACAACCAAAAAATGCTTGTTGTTCAGAGGGCTAATAGGGACTTTTTTATTCCCACAGTTGCAACAATTTCCATCTATAATATTACATGATGAGATCCTGACTTTGCTGTGTGAAGCGAGGTGTGAACTGGTGTTTTGTGAATAAACAGAACACAGTTAGGATATGTTGTTTGATATTTTGTTCTGCAATAACGATGCTGAGACAAAATCGGAAAAGATATGAAACAACAGATGGCAAAAAAAAAGTCCCAGCATGCAACCCTTCATCTCCACAAACCTTTTATGCAAACGGCAACGTCACCCACAATATGAACCAGTGTATATTTTTCTCCACTAAGTTCTCATTAAGACCCTGCAACTGACAATATTGCGGTAATTAGTTGATGAGGGCTCTCTGCAGTCCACCCACGCATCTGTAATTACATGCTTGACAACATTTTATCACAGCGATGCAAAGCAGTTTGTCAGCAGTTTGTGTCGCCTCCCACAGAATCTCATTTCTTTTCGGCGGCCCAGTCGAAATGTGATTTACTCTCTGTGAACGATTTCACTTAAGCAGGAATGAATGCCAAAGCAGAGAGCGCTCGCACGCTGAGATAAAATGTCACGGGCTCAGTCAGCGCAAACTAAACGGTATCTAACATCTGTTTTGTGCTGCCGAAGTGGAAAACAAGCCGGCGAACGGACTGCTCTCACATTATTTAAAGCCGAGACCTGAGGGAAGCAAACAAAAATCTCATCCAGGCTGAAATAAGTCAACTGTGTTTCACGTGACGCTGTATCTCATCAGGAGTTTCTCTGGCGCTAGAAGGACTCCACGTGTTGACATGTGAATCTCATTTCAGATTTTAAACTCCCCTCAGAACGATTTCCAGATCTCCAGGTGGTAGAGAATCGATAACTATGATTGAAGTTCACAGTGAATATTAAGGTGATAAACTGATTACACTTCATTTCATTGTGTTTGATTTTGTATAACACAACAAATCTAAACCCCACAAGGTTCTTTCAAGGTTGCTAACAGGTTTGTGCATCTTGGTTATGAATCAACTGCATGCTGAGGAATACTTGTCTTATTTAGCCAACACTAC